ACAGAGACAGAAACAGAGACACAGACACACAGAGAAAGAGACAGAGACAGAGATAGAGACAGAGACAAAGAGAGAAAAGACACAGACGGAAACAGACACACAAAGAAACAGAGAGACACAAAGACAGAAACAGAGAGAGACAGAGACACAGACACAGAAACAGACACAGAAACAGAGACCCAAAGAGACAGAGACACAGACACCAAGAGAAACAGGAACAGACAAACAGGCAGACACAGACACAGAGACAGAAACAGAGAAAGAGACAGAGATGGGCGGAGACACACAGACACAAGAGAGACATACAGAGACAGAAAGGGACAGAGAGGCAGATGAGAGACAGAGATACAGACAGAGTCAGAGAGAGATAGACTGCTGTTAAGAAGCCCTGGTGTCTAAGAGGGTTAAGTGCTTAGCCTCCAAGCCTAAGGCCCGCGGTTTGAACCCGCCTGCCGCCCCCTCAGAGGGAGGAAGATGACCACTGGCCTCCCTTTGAATATTCACAGCCTCCAGAACGTGGCGGAGGCCGGCCAGGAGTCCATCTGACAGCAGTGGGTGATTTTGTATTTTTTTTTGGGGGGGGGTTAGCAGATCTACCAAGTGGGCAACAGGAAAACCCCAACAAGTTAATAAAAAATAAAATTTAAAAAAAAAAAAAATCCCAGCAATGACTATTTTTACAGGAGGGTGGAATGAGAAATGCCAAGACCGGGGCGAAACGGGCAGAGCCGAGGGGGATGCAGGCGGCAGTATCCGCCGGAGAAACGCGGCCGGGAGAGAGAGGCAAGGAGCATCGCTTTCCCTGGACGGCCGGCTTCCAACCTGTGAGACAACACTCTCCGAGAAACCCACCCCCTCGGGGAAATGGTGTCGCGGCACCAAATCCCAGGAAAGAAATCCTGACAGACAGACGTCACCACACAAGGCATCTTTCATTGGAAAAGGGCTTTATTTCACCATAAAAATGCAAACGAGACAGACGCTCTGCTGGCGGTCACAAGGGCTTTGAAGTATTCCTGAGCTCTGCGTTTTGGGAGCAGCAGACAACTGTAAAAAATTTAACCACTTGGCAGCCTGCGATCGATCGGGTGGGGGAAAAATTTCAAGTAAAAAATAACTTGGGGTAAAAAAAAGAAAAAGAAAAATGCAGCAGCTTTTTAGAAAAGCTCGCAGGGGTCAAACCTTCACTCTCGAAACCAGAAGCTCTCGGCCAATCTTCTTCAAACATGGAATTACTTGAAATTCTTATTTTTTAAAGAAATTTTAAAATAAAGAAGAAAAAAAAAATAGGCATCCTGTCATGCCCTCCCCGACAAATGTGTCCTTGTCCTGGGAAGACTTAGTACCCAAGCAGGACTTAAAGGCCAAGAGCACTACATGATGCAGGCTTTTCACCAAAAAGGTTTCAGAGAAGATTAAAAAACAAAACAAAACAAAAACCCCAAAGAGAAAATTCAGAAACGAAAGTCTTTTTTTGGTGGTGGTCTGTTTTCAGGAACGCCGGAGCGGTCCACGGCGTGTGGCCACCCTCAGACAGCTGACCTCCAGGAAGCGGTCTCGTGTCACCCTGTCCCCGGCAGGTCAGGCGCCTGGACTGAGGTCTGAGACCCCCTCCAGGCCTCATGGTGGTGGCCGTCGTGAGGCTCGGTGACCTGAAAGCTTAGGCGGCCGGGCCGTGGCAGAAGGAAATGAAAGCTAACGTCCGAGGGCCCCGGCTGGAGGCGGGGCGCACGCCGTGGGCCCGCGTCT